AATGAGAGGGGCAAGAAAAAAATTACTTTTAGGATAGGTTAAGTATTCATGATCACACAAGTAATCAGGAGGATTACATAAGATAAAATGAACAATTTTTATTACATAAAATTTAAAAATTTTTACACAAGCAGGAAAAAAATTTGCAGTAAATATCTCTGATAAATGTCTGATAGATAAGATATATAGCTAACTGATTCAAATTTATAAGGCTAAAAGCCATTCCCCAATAGATAGGATATGAATAGACAGCTTTTAAAAGAAGAAATCTAGAAATTCATCAACCATATGAAAAAATGTTTTAGATAACTAATAATTAAAGAAATGAAAATTAACACAACACTGAAGTTCTACCTTACACCTATGAAACTAGCAAAGATGCCCAATGACGAAAATATCCAGTGTTAGAGGGGTTATGGGAAAACAGGCTGTGAACTGGTCCAGCCATTCTAGAAAGCATTTTGGAACTATGTCCCAAAAGTTTGACTCTGCTCTGCCCCAAAGACATCAAAGAAAGAAAAGATCTATGTGTACAAAAATATCAATAGCAGCTCTTCTCATGAGGCATCTCAAAATTGGAAAGGGACTGTCCTCCTATTAAGGAATGGCTAAACAACTAATTTTACATGAACGTAATGGAATGTTATTGTGCTATAAGAAATTATAAAATAAACAAGTAAACATAAATTGTTTAAAAAGAAAAAGCACATAAAAACCAAGAAAAAATGAAAAAGGTTTACATGACAATGCCAATAAAACCAATAACAGATTAAACAGATGAATAATTAGATGTTAAATACTCAGACTAATAGAGATAGAAAATTTATATAACCCAATCTCAGAATAGTAAATTGAACCACAAATGAACTCCAAAAAACGCCCCCCAAAAACAGGTCCAGATGAATTAAAAAATTAATTCTATGAAATAAACAGAATAATTCATTCTAATTGAAAAAAGAAGCTGGTTGAAAAATTAGGAAAAAATATACTATTATTGTCTTTCTATGATACAAATATCATTTTGATACCTAAACCAGAGGGAGAAATCATAGAAAGTACACTATAGACCAAAATTCTTCATGAATATCGATGCAAAGACATTGAATAAAATATTAGCACTGAAGCTATAGCAACATATTTTAAACATTATACACGATGATCAGGTTGGCTACATATTAAGAGTGCAAGATTGGTTAATATAAGAAAAAATTGTAAACATCATAGACTATATGACAACATCATGTGATTATAATTAATGATGAAAAGCTTTAGACAAAATGCAAAACCCATTTTTATAAAAAAAAACACTAGTAAGTATAGGAATAAATGGAATGTTCCTTAATATGATAAATAATATCTACCTAAACCAAAGGGTTAACGTTATTTGCAATGGAGAAATGCAGAGCCCTTTCCAATAAGTACAGGGTAAAGCGAAAAGTCCATTTATTGCCACTATTTTTTGACATAGTGTGAGAAAGGCTAATAAATGACAAGAAAAAGAAATATAGAGATTAACAAAGGCAAAGAAAGACAAAAAAATTATCCCTTTTTGAGAATATAATGTTCTATTAAAGCGAACCCTAGTAAACTAAAATATTAAGTGAAATAACTTCAACAAATTAGTAGGATATAAAATAAATCTATAAAAAATCAACAGCTTTTATTTACATTTGCAACAAATTTCATCAGGAAGAAATAGAAAAAAATTTCATTCAAGACAACTATATAATTTATAAGTACTTGGGAGTCCACCTATCAAGAAGCACACAAGAACTAGATGAACAAAACTTCAAAACATTAGTTATAAAAATAAATAGACCTACCTTATTAGAAAAATAATAATTTACAATATAATAAAAGTAAAAAATAAAAAAGTAAAGTAAAAAAGTAAAAAATTTAAAAATAGTAAGATCATGCCAATGTAACAAAAATGAGACTGGTAATTAAATTAATTTACTTATCAAGTGCCATCCCAATCAAACTACCAAAAGATTACTTTAGATAACTAGAAAAAAAATTTATCTGGAATACTGAAAAGTTAAGAATTTGGAGGAAAATAATGAAGAAAAAAATGGGAAAGAAAGATGCCTGGAGTACTCTCAAAATATACTAAAAAAAAAAAATCAGTATAATAAGTAAACAAATAAATTGTTTAAAAAGAAAAAAGCACATAACCAACAAAAAAATAAAAACAGTTTATAAGCCAATTATATGACAATAAAACCAATAGCTTAGATGAAATAGATGAATAATTAAATGTAAAATACCCAGACTACCAGAAGAAATAGAGAATATGTATCAAATATATGTATCAAGGCTTTTTGTTACTGGTTTAAAAAATAGAAAAATTGTTCAGATGAAGAGATTAAAGATACAATATACTGAAGCAAATGAACATAGTAGCAAGTGTTCATAACACTATGATAATAATATTCAACAAAAACTGCTAGGAAAACTGGAAAGCAATAGGGCACAAATTAGATTTAGACCAACTTCTGATACCATATACCAAGATAAGATTCAAATGGATACATGACTTAGATATAAATGGTCACATTATAAACAAACTAGAGGAGTAGGGATAGAAATACCTTTCACAACAGGGAACATCAAGGAACAACACAACATCAGTGAAGAATTCATAAACAAGGAATACAGAAGATCACAGAAAATAAAATAAACAATTATGACTACATAAAACAGAAAAGTAGTTGCACAAACAAAATCAACATAGTGAAAATTAAAAGGGAAACCATTAAGTGGGAAAAATATCTTTGCAGCAAGTTTCTCTGACAAAGTGAAATATTGATTCAAATTTACAAGAACAAGAGTCGTTTCCCAATAAATGGTCAAAGGACATAAACAGAAAGTTCTCAAAGGAATAAAAACTTATGTTTATAAGCTATTCATACCTTCATGAAAAATGCTCCAAACCATCAATAATTAGAGAAATGAAAATTATAACAACTCTGAGATTCCATTTCACACCTATCAAATTGACAAAGATGACAAACAAAATAAGAATTGTGAGAAAGACTGTGGAAAGGGTAGTCACACTAGTAGAGCTGTGAACTGGTCTAGGCTTTATGAAAAAAAAATGGAACTATGCCCCAAAAGTCACTAGATTGTGTATAGCTTTTGACCAAGTGATACATCTACTAGGCCTGTACCTGCAAAGGATCAATGAAAGAGCTTTTGGAAAAGATTCATATATACAAAAAATATTCATAGCAGCTCCATTTTTTTTTGTAGCAAAAAAATGGAAACTAAGGAGGTGTCCATCAATTAGGGAGTACCTGAACAAGTTATGGCATAAGAATATAATGGAATATTAGTGTGCAAGTGATGAAAGGAATGGTTTTGGAGAAGCCAGGGAAGACATGCATTGAACTAATGCATAGTAAAGTCAGCAGAACCAGAACAATTTATACAAAAACAATATTGTAAAGACAAACAATTTAAAAAGATTTAGGAATTGATCAATGCAATGACCAATTTCAGGGCATAAATGATGGTACATGCTACCCAACCTCTGACTGAGATAACAGACTCAAGATGCAAAATAAGACATATATTTTTGGATGGGGCCAATATGGTCATATGTTTTGCTTTACTATGCTTAACTAATATTTGTTGCAAGGATTTTTTTTCCTTTCTTTTTTCCATTTTGGAGGAACTGATGGAAATAATAGGGATAATACTAGTATTATCCTCTCCAAAAAAGAAAAGAAATTAAAGAGGGTCATTGAAGTATTTTTTTAAATATACAGAAGTGAACAGAATTTCAGAATGAAACAGGCTAGCAGGAGTGTTTTTAAAGCAACATATTGAATTTATTATAATATACTTGAAAAGCAAGCTGTGATTAATAGAGACTCATGGTTTCATATACTATCTTCCTTATCTGCTCTACTTAGTATATGGCAATGCTCATTTGATTTGGTGTTTTTTAAGTCCAATTTTTTTTAAAACATAGAAGAACCTCAGAATGCAAAGTCATAGAAGCCAAGGAAGGAGGCAGTGACCAGAAGAAGGGTATGGTAAAAGAATAAAATGCCAGGAAGAGGGCAAGGAAACAAAGACAAGAAAAAAAGAATTTTGATAAAGAAGAAGTCACTGGTGATTTCAGAGAGAACAATTTCAAGAGTGATGGTGCCAGAAGCAAGAGTGCAAGGCTAAGAAAAGGGTGGTTAAAGTAGAAAACAGTTTAGTGTATAGCACTCTTTCTAAAGAGTATAGTGGAAACCCAAAGAACTCTCCCATTTTTATTGCCGTGGAGTATTCTCCCATGATCGCCTTTACAAATGGGCTCTCTGGCCTAGCATCCTCTTCCCCTGAGCCAGGTCACCCTTGATTGTCTGCCGCAGCCTACTGCCTGACAAGAGCTGCTCAGAAGCCACCACTAAGGTTTACAACATCACAAGAAGAACAAGCAACATGGCAGCAATCCCATCCAATGGTTCACTCATAGCAACTCATAACTACTACTGAAGGTGTCTGGATTCTGCTTCCAGCAACAGCTTCTGTGGAAGTGCTGAGTACTCTGGGGAAGTGATTCCCCACCATCCTGGTCTTCTCAAATCAGACCCAGGCCACTGGTGGGCAAACTTCTTCTTCAGGAAGTCAAGTCATCCATTCGTTACAACTGTATTAGACTCCTCAGAGCACTCAGGAAATTTCCAGGCCACTCATGGCACAATCACCTGTGACCTGGCTCAGGAGGCCATGAGGAAGCGGTATGTCAGCAAACCCAGCAAAACCATTACTGGGCATTCTGTATGAGCAGCAGCACACTCCTTGCTGCTCCCCCCCCCCCCAGCTTCTGAAGTATGTTAGGCATCAGAGCCCATTTCCCCCTCCCCTTATTTCCCCCCCTTACTTCTCCCACCTATTTCCTTAGAACAGACAGGATGCTTAAGTGTAGAAGAAGTTGGGTTGTGTGTGTTCGTGTTTTTTTTTTTTAAAAGAAAAACCCCAAAGTTCCAAGTTCTAATACTTACCTCTCTCTTGTAGGGCATGAAGCTCTGGAAACTCACACTTGACCTGGGCCTCCATGGTATCGAGCTGGCCGTGCCATGATTCCTTATGTACCATCTCCTCTGAAAGAACCTCTTGTTCATAAGCACAGTTTGGGACCTGGAAACAATCAGGTATGATTGCATTCATGAGGAACTTGGCACTACAAATAACACCTTAAAGATGACACCATAGGGAATACACCCCAGAATTCCATTCGATCCCCAAGGTCATGAAGTGGAGGGGGAAATGAAAAAGAAAGACACAAAGACTACTACTCCAGCCCTCCTCAGTGCTCCTGTCAATGCTGTGTTGCTTCCCTGGACTTGTACTTGGAGATCACAACCCTGCTTTCTGAATGGAGCGTGTAATCTTCCCCTAGCACATTCCCACCTGCTGTCCTGGTTCATCAGGCTTTCTCTCCAAATCCTCCAATACAGTGACCACTTCCTCTCCGTTCTTTGGACGATGTTCTCTCACCCAGGCCTGGACTTCCTTGGGCAGGATGGTTAGGAACTGCTCTAGCACCAGCAACTCCAGGATCTGTTCTTTTGTGTGCATTTTTGGCCTCAGCCACTGACGACAAAGATTCCGGAGTTGGTTCAGCGTCTCACGTGGTCCAGGGGTCTCCTGGTAGCAGAACTGTCTGAATCGCTGACGGAAAATCTCCTGAGGAGAGAGTTTATCTCTTCTTAAGCTAGATTCCTGGTCCCAGGAGTCATCTTCCTCCTTCACCTTCACTGTTAAAAGTTCCAATTCCTCTTCTGAGATTTGGTTGTCCATGGTTACAGCCTCCATCAATCTAGTAGCAATCCTGAGCTTTAAGTGCTCAGAAGGCTTATTCAGTTGAGTTTTATACTTTGAGAAGATTTAATTCAAGTATTTCCTTTGCATAGGCTGTCCTAAAGCATAAGAAACCATTGTTAACTTATGGAGCTGACATGCTGCTTTAGAACTGATAAAATAAAAGTCAGTCATTAGAGCAATTCAGAGGAAAGGAAAGTAATTCAAAATCAACCAACCAACAAGTATAGTAATACTTCTATCACTATGCTGTACAAGTGAAAAAGAAAATTGGATAAAATAAAAATATAGGCTCTTGTTCTTGCCCTCAAGAAGTTTATAATCTCTTGGTGAGACTAACACGAATTAATTGCAGAATACAAGAGTGCATACAAATAACTTCTAAGTATGAAGCAAGTATGGAGTGGTGTTACCTTAAAAAAAAAAAGATCTATCCAGGTCAGAGCAGTGGAGTAAGGCTGTAAGAGCAAAAGGGTTTTGAACATCTTAACACAAAGCTAAGGAAAACAAAAAAGAATAAATCAAAGGTACTGTGTGCTTTGCCTTGCTTAGAACGGAAAAGTTGGTTTCTAAAAACTAAGAGCAAAACTTTAGAAAATATAAATAATATGCTGATCATGCGAAATTCGGGCAAAAGACATTTACTAGACATTACTTGGCCCTGGTTCTACTGGGAAATAAACTCCCACGGGAGAAATAAACTCTTTTGTTTGTTTTGTTAAAGTTTTGTTTTGTATAAAGGCTGAAGAAATGAAGCAGCGGGAGACTGTAATGAGAGGGAAACTTCCAAGGATCCAGGAGACCAGAGAAGGCTCCCCCGTGGGAAAGTGAGCTGCCACGTCACTTAAGCAAAGCAGCCAGACTTCAGCGCTTGCAGTCACTTAGGATTCCTCAGAGCGCACACCGGTCCAGAGGCACCGCCGACCTCCTAGGAGAACCGAGCCCAGCACGTGAGCCTGGCTGGCACCCGGAGGCGCGGCGGGAGCCGCAGCCCACAGCCCTACCCGCGTCCCCGAAGCCCAGATTTCTCCCAAGTCTCTATTTCTGTCTCTCCGCGAATATGCACTTCCTACAGCGGCCATGGCTGAGGGACCAGCGAGAGGGTTGTCGGGGGTACCCACGGGTCCGTACGGAGCTGAACAGACTCGCCTTGCTTCTCGAGCTCCCTCCGCCTCAGGCCTCTGCCCACTTACCGTGGCAGCACAGGTACAAGGAAGGTGAGAAGTGCTGCACACAAGCTTTCGGACCTGCAGAGGCCTTGACTCAACAGCCCCGGCCTTGAATTCTCCAATCCGTGGCCAGCCCACGCAACTCCAGTCACTTCTAGGTCTCTCTAGGAAATCTCCGTCTCGGTGGTAGAGCTTCTCTCCTCCGCTCAGCCGGATCTGGTTTGCCGGGGGCCGAGCACAAACTGTGGTGTGCGTTCTCTTCTGTCAACCTGCCCCGCGAACAGTTGCTCAAACTGAGGCCACAGTCTAAGTGAAACAATTACCAAGTTATCTCAGACAGCCACATTGGAGGAGACAGCAACGCAGAAAATCTACCGTGTGTGTGTGTGTGTGTGTGTGTGTGTGTGTGTGTGTGTGCGCGCGCGCGCACAGAAGATCTACCGTGTGTGTAATAGATATATGTAGAGATATATAGAGATATATATCTCTCTATATATCTATATATATACATATGTATGTGTATGTATGTATATATGTGGAATACAGAGGCCCTAAATTCCAAGTTCTCCAAACTCAGAAAATCCAGTGTGCCTTTATGCATTGGTGCAGTAAGGATTATGGCCTTCAGCGGTATTAGAAAGATTCCCCTGACCAGAACTACCCAGACATATTTGGGAAAGCATTTATTATTGGAAGAGCATTAAAAGTTCCAGCATATTTCGATGGGGCCGGCTCACTTCTTTCTGGTTCCAATGCCTCCACCTGAGTGAAAGCTGGAACTTTCAATATCTGGCACCCCCTAAAGGGCATCCATCAATTTACTTCAAAGTTATTTGGTACCCATTCAAGTATTACCTGTGTGTATCAGTGGCACTTCCCTAAAGGATGACCATCAGCTCCCCAGTGTAATGGCTCAAGCTCAAAGGCATCAGACATAGAAAAGGTTTTATTTAATATAGCAAAGGACCCAGAGAGAATTTGCAGCTGAGCCCACAGATAAACAAGAATCCCCTTTTCAGTAGGCCTTTTACAAGGATTATATAATAATCACAACTACACGTAATAGCCTCAGTAGGGTCTCCCTGATTAAGGAGACAAACTTCCGGCAGATAGTAAGACAACCACCCTCATAACCAGTGAGTGTCTTACACAGTGTCCACTCCCCACCTCCCTTAACAGTGAGCCAACCTCCTTAGGCCGCATTACCTACACTACTGCCTTGGATAGGGCTCAAAGGAGAATTAAAGTTTGCTGTTCTCTAGCTACCTGTGCCTCATTGCTTCTTCATTGACAGTTCCTCCAGCTACTACTCCACTCTAATTCTACCTCCACAAATTTCTGATTCTACCTCTTACATATGGCCCCTTCTCTCTGCCCACACAGCCATCACCCTAGTTCAGCCCCTTATCACCTTTTGCCTGTGCTATAGCAATTGCCTTCTAATTGTTCTATCTGCCTCGCATCTCTTCCATGCCAATCTGTTTTCCACACAGCTGCAAAAGTGATTTTTCCCTATTCAGAGATATGGCTGTTACTCACTCTAGTAAGAGCAATATTTCCTAGGACCCTTCCATATAAGCTGAGCTTCCTTTTCTAAGCCCCTACCCAACGCAAATTAGGCTAGTTCTTTTCCTTAAGAGGTTTCTAAACTCTCTTTGAGACTTGATTGGCTAAAGCTATAAGTTAAGGTTAATGACATGGCTTCCTGGTGGCCTAAGAACAAAAGGACCTCAGGAGAAGCTCCAGAACTCCCTCTGAGGTTTCTGACATGTACAAATAGCATGACTAATGAGTGCTCACCTGAAATAATGTGGTGTCTTCACTAAATATACTTGTTGAATGTCCTTTCTCTGCCATAGCTAAGAAAACCTCATTTTGCTAACTGTTGAATTGTCTCATTCTATTCCAGTATCAGACCTAAACTACCAGGGGAAATGCCTGAGTCAGGGGCAACCCACAACACTTTCCCATTCAATAAACTCCAATGGCTCCCAATTGCCTCCAAGACACAATATAAACTAACTGGCTTTTAAAAATCCTTAATATTTTGACAACAAGCAATTTTGCTGACCTCATTATACTTTCTTTGCTTCCCTTCTCCACACTAAGGTTAAACCAAACCGGGCTTCTCTCTGTTCATAATAAATAGTACATTTCCCTCCTCCAAGCACTTGAAATTTTTTTTTTTTGGCTAGGCAATGGGGTTAAGTGACTTGCCCAGGGTCACACAGCTAGTAAGTGTCAAGTGTCTGAGGTGAAATTTTTTAATGAAAATTTTTTTATTAACCTGTCAACTCAGTAAATAAAACAGTACTAGCTCTAAGAACAAAGATAAAGACCTGGAAATTTGGTCCTTTGCCAGAATCAAATAAATTGTTTAGATGATATTAGATTCATTCCTGTTCAGTTTGTATTGTTCTTAATCAGTCAGATACATTATTTCAATCTAAAGGGAAACACTTGTTAACAATTTAACAAGGCACAAATTCCATCCAATTCTTTGAGTTCTTTCATCCCATATAGATTTCCAACTCATGTCAGGTGGAGCTTGGAAATTTTCCAGGGAGATTCCTGGAAACCCTACAGAAAAAAAATATATAATCCATAGGAGTATTTGAATAGTAACATGTTACATTCTTTGGAAACATACTTTAATTTCATTCTGTATGATTTACTCCAATTTATTTGTCAGTATTATCCATTGATAGAATTTTTTTCTTTCAACAGGAATGGAATCTTGCATTCTATGAGACTGCGGCTTATCAAACATTTCTTTTATCTCATCTCTAGGGAAAAAGAAAAAGACCTAGAGATATGTTACCTTGATCAGTCAAATTAATGAACTAGTATGTGCCTATTTTAATCCCAGTGATATTTATTTTACTTAATCAATGAAATAGATTATTTCAAACTAAAGGAAAAGAATATCATAACTACTCATGGCAAGCCAGTTAAGACTTCCAGTCCATGTCAGATTATGGCCAATAGTAACATTGAAAATCATGCCAGCAAATCTCAAAATAATCAGTAGGAATCAATATATGTGACCAATAATTTGGTACATTCCTTGAATTAAATACATTTTAGACTATGTACTCTACTTTGCTTGTTATTGCAGTCAATGAAGTCTTGTTTCCTATGAGAATGCTACCTAAAAGATTATTCCTGATATCTCAGCAAATATAGCACAGTACAATGTCTAGGGACATAGTGGTAGAAGCAGATAATGAGTAGTTTCTTGGAGTTAAATAAATGGTTTTAAGGCTCACCTGATTAACTTCTATAGTGTTTGCATTACTCTTAACGGACTAGATTATTTTCATCTCAAGCAAAAGAATATAAATTGGGAAGCAAGACAGTTAAATCTCATTTAATTCTAATCAAATTGCCACTGGAAACTTCTAGATTGCAATGGGTAGGACAAATCCAGGAAACCCTGCAGGGCAAACAAAATATAATCTCTATGGATCACTGTATATAAACAGCAATCTAGTATATTGCTTGATTAATATTCTTTTTCTACATTTCAAATTTTTACTAATTTGTTTGTTACAGTCAATATAATATCTCTTTCAATCCACTATAAAAAAATTTCTTTCCTTTAACATGCTTCCTATAGAAAGATTCCTGAAAACTCATCAAATAAAACTCAATGCTATGTTTAGGAACAGAAAGAACTGGAAATCCAGTATCTTGCTGGAGTAAAATAAATGTTCCTGAACCTGCCTGATTCAATTCTATTGAGTTTGTACTATTCTTAATTAATGGGATAGATTATTTCAATCTAAAGCATAGCAATATGGAAACAGCAAAACAAGACACAAATCCCATTCAATTATTTGAAAACCTTCATCCAATAGCCAGTCAAGATTTCCAGTTAATGTTAGATCACTACCTATAATAGTAATCCTGGAAATTTTCAGGGGAAAAATGATATTTTTCCTCTTTCTTTGATCATTTTGGGGTATAGACATAATTGCCTAAAAAGCTGTTAGACTTTACATACCCTTTGATCCAGCAATATCACTACTAGGTCTGTATCCCAAAGGAATTAAAAAAAAAAGGAAAAAGAAAAGGAACTATTTGTTAAGTTTTTTCCTACATCTATTGAGATAATCAATGATTTTTGTTGTTTTTGTTATTGATATGATCAATTATGTTTTCTTAATATGGAAACCATCCCTGCATTCCTGGTATAAATCTATACAATAGTATGTCATAATGTCATAGTCATATTGTGTGATTGTTGTATGACATATTGCTCTCTTCTCCTTACAAATATTTTATTTAATTTTTTTTGCCTCAATCTTCATTATGGAAATTTGTTTATAGTTTTTTTCTCTGTTTTTGCCTCTTCCTGGTTTACATATCTAAACCATATTTGTAAGGGCAAAGCCAAGATGGCAGAGTAGAAGCAGCAACCCAACTGAACTCTCCCAACATTCTCCTCCAAACAACTTTAAAATAATACATCAAATTGAATTTTGGGGTTACATAGCTAACAAAATGTCAGGTTGACACATTTTTATAGCCCAAGACAACTTAGAAGGAAGGCAGGAGAGTTCTGTGAAAGTGAGGTGAAAGCCAGCCCAGAGTGTATGTGGCAGCAACACCAGTAGTGGGTCTTGAAGGTGGCTGGGTCAGCAGCAGTAGCAGTTTCAGGAGCTCTCAGACCAAACATAGTAAGGGGACTGGACAACTGATCAGAAAGAGATTACAGAGGACCCTGGACATAGGACTCTTTGGCAACCACATTGACCATATGCAGTTTGGGGTCATAGTTTCAGGGTAGAGAGAAGAGACTGTGATCAGGCACAGGAAAGAAAGGGCACTGGTCACAGTTCCAAGGCTGAGAAGAGCACTAGCACTTGAGGTTGCTGGTGAGGAGAGGTCCTTCCTAGATAAAGACCAGAGTGCAGACCAGGAAAGCAATAACTACATCTCTCCTAGGATAACACCACCCTGGAAGCAGTGCCAAAGACACCCAGAATTAGCTCTGAAAAAAGTGTGAAAAAACCTGAAGTTTGGGACAGTGCCTCCCCACCCCCAGGTGAGCAAAGCCCAACTTTAACATAAGGTTAAATAGGCTGGAAAAGAGATAAAACAACACAAAAAGAAGCTGATCATAAAAGCTACTATGGTGGCAGGGAAGATCAAGACCAAACTCAGAATAAGACAACAATGTGAAAATAGCTATGAGCAAAGCCACAAAGAAAAAAATGCAAATTAGACACAGGCTCATTAAAAATTGCTAGAAGAATTGAAGAAACAGATAAGAGTGATAGATGAAAAATTGGGAAAAGAAATGACAGTGATGCAAGAAAGAATCAATAGCTTGGTAAAGGAGGCATGAAAATATACTGAA